TTAAGTAAAGTTTATTAAGTAAAGTTTATTAAGTAAAGTTTATTAAGTAAAGTTTATTAAGTAAAGTTTATTAAGTAAAGTTTATTAAGTAAAGTTCAGTAAATAAAGTTTAGTAAGTAAAGTTTAGTAAGTAAAGTTCAGTAAGTAAAGTTCAGTAAGTAAAGTTCAGTAAGTAAAGTTTATTAAGTAAAGTTTATTAAGTAAAGTTCAGTAAGTAAAGTTCAGTAAGTAAAGTTCAGTAAGTAAAGTATAGTAAATAAAGTATAGTAAATAAATTATAGTAAGTAAAGTTTAGTAAATGAAAATAGAAACTATCGTTCTGCTCCTCCAGCAGCGTCTGCCTCCCTTCGAGAGCTTCTCTCAGGGTCCTAACCTGCAGTTCACCTTACGCTGGACCACCGAGCTATCGGAGCGTCCCCCCGCTCCTGTGGCCAGACCTTTGTCCACCCGAAACACCGAGACCAACCAGGAGCCCCGAGCCAGCACTCTGAGGGCCACGCCCACACAGGGTGAGACAGGCAGACAGGTGTGTGTCTACCTCCCACAGGTGAGCGTGACTGATGCTGGTTGTTGTCCACCTGCAGCTCTGAAGGACTCCGTGACCTCTGACCTTCAGACTAGGAGGGACCTGATCCTAGCCGAGCCTCATCAGAAACTCCGGATCTTCTACCAGGTCAGAGGTCACCTGCTGTCCACCCCTCACCTGAGGGGGTGTGGTCTCTAACCTGCAGTTCTGCTCCTCTAGTTTCAGTACTTTAACAACACGAGACAGCAGACTGAGGCCAGGGACGACCTGCACTGTCCCTGGTGTACCCTGAACTGTAGGACCCTCTACAGCCTGCTGAAACACCTGAAACTGTCCCACTCCCGCTTCATCTTCAGCTATGTGGTGAGGACCAGACCAGTCTGTCCTCTAACTGTCCCCCTGTCCTCTAACTGTCCCCCTGTCCTCTAACTGTCCCCCTGTCCTCTAACTGTCCTCTAACTGTCCCCTAACTGTCCTCTAACTGTCCCCCTGTCCTCTAACTGTCCTCTAACTGTCCTCTAACTGTCCTCTGTCCTCTAACTGTCCTCTAACTGTCCTCTAACTGTCCTCTAACTGTCCCCCTGTCCTCTAACTGTCCTCTAACTGTCCTCTAACTGTCCCCTGTCCTCTAACTGTCCTCTAACTGTCCTCTAACTGTCCTCTAACTGTCCCCCTGTCCTCTAACTGTCCCCCTGTCCTCTAACTGTCCTCTAACTGTCCTCTAACTGTCCCCTAACTGTCCTCTAACTGTCCTCTAACTGTCCTCTAACTGTCCTCTAACTGTCCTCTAACTGTCCCCCTGTCCTCTAACTGTCCCCCTGTCCTCTAACT